AAAAAAAAAAAAATAAGTGAGGAAATGGATGAAGATTAATAGACCAGATGGGGGCGATGATCAGTGAAGTTAGAAATACGGTAGCCAGTATGCATGCCATTTAAGTCTGTATACTCGCTAGATGAGCTAAATCTAGCTCTGAACTCTGAAGCACCTAGTGCAAAGAAAAAGGAAAGAAAAATCCTAAGTTACATTATTCATGGTTATGAGAACAAACCAGTTGCTTAGGAGCCGTTCCTAGTATTAAGACACAAAATTTCTCATAGAAAGTATTAAGAAAACATTAAATGATACAACGAATAAAGACTTCCAACATCTTGCGTAAAGAATAGTGGTACTGTAATATAGTGACTGAGAACAAGAGCTCTGGAGTCTGTTTACTTGGATAATATCCTAGCTCTACCACTGTGTGGCCTTTATGAAGTTACTCAACCTGTCAGCAGCTTGGCTTCCTCATCCGTCAAATGGGGATAATGGTACTTTCTACATAGGATTGCCTGTGAGGGTTGAGTGAATTAATGCATCTAAAGTGTTTAGCATGGTGTCTGGCATATAGTACTCTAAATGTGAACTGGTCTTATAATTATCTCCTGGCTCTGTTTCTTTCTTTTTTTTTTTCTTTAAAGATTTTATTTATTTGACAGAGAGAGACACAGCGAGAGAGGGAACACAGCAGGGGGAGTGGGAGAGGGAGAGGGAGAAGCCTGCTTCCTGCTGAGCAGGGAGCCCCACCCGAGGACCCTGGGATCATGACCTGAGCCGAAGGCAGACGCTTAACGACTGAGCCACCCAGGTGCCCCAACCTGGCTCTGTTTCCTATCATGGCCTTAGTATAGGTCATTGCTGTAACACTGAAGTGCAGTTTGGTAAAATCAGTTGCAAGTGGAGCAACATAATTTAGTCCAACTCACTGGTGTGGTTCAGTCAGAAGATATAATTTAGAATAATTCTAAGAAATAATTGAACTATAATCATCCAAAAGTACCATTTCTCCAATTTAATTAGTTTGATGACAGAATTCGGGATTAAACCAAGAGCTTGATGTGTACGTATTCTCTAATGCCTAGTGCCTGGCACATAGTAGGTGTGTGGTACACATTTGTGAATGGATGGATGGGTGCATGCTGATGAAAACCAGGTCAGTACTCTCCTGTAGAGAGAGCTGAGACATGGGCAACAAAATCGAGGTGTGTTGAGGTTATATTATTATCTGATGGTGTCATACCTTTTCAAAATGGAAGTAAAGAGAGTACAGTATGGATGGGGCAACATCAGATTTGTGGTTAAATCCTGGATGAGAACCTTCTGGAAAAATGTTCTATCTGTGTGGTCCCCTTGCTGCTTGTAGTAGTGAGTAGTATATCACTATGGGGAGAGTCCTTGGCAGCAGAACAGTGGAACTTCTTCTGACAATACCCTAGGTTGGATTTGGGAGGGTTAGGAATTGAGTTCATGTGTATAGTCATTGGGAGATGAAGGTAAGAACAACTGGGCACAGCTGTTTTCCCAAGCCTATTTATTTAGAACCTTTTAGAAGATTTATTATTATAACACAATAATTACAACCATAAGTGAGTGCTTTTTAGAGTAACGTGTTGAATTGTTTCTTGAACCAATTAGGCATGCACTATACTCTGAAGAGTTCTTTACAGACAGGAAGACAGCAACGTTATGTATTGGCTGTTTATAATGCAATTTAGGAATAAAAATTAATTTAGTTGTGGTTAAATTGGTTAAGGCAACTCTGTATTGAGATTATTATATAATATTTTGCAGATACAAAAGGTGAATTAGGTGCTCTTCTCACATTCGCAGTATGCAAGTATTTTTGGAATATAGTGTCAACTTTTTGAATGACACTGAGGAAAGTATGAGGACTTTATTTTGTTTTGCTGGAGTTGCATTATTGTTTATTCGAAACTGTAGGAGAGGGTTCTTGATATTTGATGGGAAGCAACAGTTGCCTTATAGATCTTTCCTCTCCAACCTGTTGAGATGTAATTTACATGTAAAACAATTCACCAGATTAATACTGAGTTTGAATTTTGGCAGTTGTATACAGTGGTGTAATCACCACCATAATCAAGATAAGGGAACATTTCCATCATCCTGAGTTTTCTCATGACTCTAGTCAACCCTGATCCCCAGCCTCAGTTATCCATTGATTTGATCTTTATCACTATAGTTGTATTTTATTTAGGATGTCATATAAATGGACTCCTACAGTGTAGTTTTTGTGTTTGACGTTTTGCATTTAGCATTATGTTTTAGAGATTTGTCATTGTTGTTGTGGGTATCACTATTTCGTTCCCTTTTATTACCAAGTAGTATTCCATTGTATGGCTGTACCACCTGTTGATGGTGTTTCCACCTATTACGAATAAAGTGGCTATTCTTTCATTTCTCAGTAAATACCTAGGAGTGGAATAGCTGGGTTGTATAGTAGGTGTGTTTAATTTTTTTTAAGAAACTGCTAAACTGTTTTCCAAATTGTTGTGCCATTTTACATTCCAACTTGCAGTGTATGAGAGTTCCCATTGCTCCACAGCCTTGCTAATTCTTGGTATGATCAGGCCTTTTTATTTTAGCTGTGCTAGTAGTTATATAGTGGTTTTAATTTGCATTTCCCTTACAGCTAATGATGAGCATTATTTCATGTGCTTTTTTGCCATATGTTTATCTCCTTTGGCAAGGTGTCTAGATTTTTTGCCCATTTTTAAATTGGGTTATTGTCAAGAACTGTGAAGGGTCTGAGATTTTATCCTATTTGCAAGCTGTAAATTGGCCTGCCAGTTTTTTTGGATGCTGGCAGAAGACAGGAGACTCCTGAGTCAGAGAGAAGGGACTTCATTTCTTTCACAGCATGAGGAGCAGCATGAGCTCCATGTTCATATCAATTTTTCTTTCCCTCCTCAGCCCCCACCCAAATCCCTCAGGGGCGACAACAGTGGCCTAGGTGTGTGCTGTACTCACAGTGGTTTGCATCACATTTGAGGAAACTGACGTTTTTTTATAATGAGCTGCAAGCAAACCTGGCCGGAGGGGCCATTATCTTTATTATCCTGAGTAATAAATGAACCTATCCTCCACTTGAGAAGACAAGCATTCTCTTCTAAGGCTATTTGCTATGCAGACAACCTTGAAAAGATCCAGAACAAAGGTATCTTTGTTTATAAGACCTATAGAAACATGAGGGATCCGTGGAGAGTTATCTTCCAACAGTATCCTTGTTTCTACATTATTTTAGCTTCTGGTAAATTTTTCCACGAGTGTACTACTCTATGACCACTCTCATTAATCTGATCAATAGGTACTGGGTCCTAATTCATTCAGTTTTTTTTCACACTGGATTTAATTAAGGCAACTATAAACAGAACTTGAAGCAGGAGGATGTGGCCACCCTGCAGTGCTGAGTTTAACCATCCACTCACTCCCCTAAGGTCCTGGACTCAACCAACTGAATAAATCCCTAGAAAGCCGGGTAGCTTTTATCTTTAGTCTCCGTGTTGACTTTTCCACTTAGCTTTAAGCATTAATCCAAGTGTAGCAAGATCTTTTAGCACTTGCACAGTCTCTGCATTGGCCCACTGGGAGGAAGTCTAGGGCAAGTCTATCATCCATAATAACCCTAACCAGTGATTTGAGGCGACATGAATGACTTCCAGGCCCCAAGTGGTATCATTGATCACATAAGCTTAAGTGAGGCACAAATTTTGCATCACCTTATTAATTTGGATGATTCCCATTGTAGGGAAAACTACCCATGGAGCACACATAAATAACAAGTCAGTTATTTTTCTAGGAAACCCCCCCAAGTACCCAAAAGTTGCATTGTTTTGGAGAGAGCATCACTCCAGTCATCTGAGAACTAAACTGATCTGTTTGTGGTGTTTCCTTAAAAACTAGATGATCTCTTCTACCCACCCCTGAAGTGCAAGTCATCATACTTTTAGGGAGGGAAGTTAGTACCTGGCTCTCATACGAGAAGTATGGTCCCTGGGGCATATAGGTGGGTCGGAAAGAAAGTGTTGTTTACAGTTGTTTGTACCCTAGAGTAGGACCTTCATCATTCAGGGGCACAAGCCTCAAATGTGGCTTCCCCCTTTCCCTGATTGAACCTGGTCCTTGTTTTTTGGAGGGATTGTCTGAGGGCAGTCAGCTCAAACCATTCTGTTTGTCATGCGCACCTTAATGCCAGTTGAGTGGTAATTATCCACCTCATGAACTGAGCCTCAGCTTTGGGAACAGTAGTGGGGCAAATATGGAACATGTAGGAGCTTGGCCATCCCCTGCTGTTTCCAAAAGACTTCTTGGTATAGTTAAGGGAAATGATCATCAAATCATGGTCAGAGTCATTGGGCAGGGGAGGACAGATCCAGCAGTTGATTTAAAGTTGCTTGTAACAGTTTGGGAGAGCTGCATCAGAGCATTTTCCTACAGAGGAACGCTATAGGGGCAGTTCTAAAGGACAAAGACCATTAATCCCTTCCTCCCCCATACCTCCTGGAGTCTTAAGATTTTTTTTCTTTTCAGGTGTCAGGGTTGTTGCTCTCCCTTCACCTCCATAGAATCAAAGGCATTTTCATAAAACTTAGAGACCCATTGTATCTCCCACTTTGACTCACAAGGGTCACTTTTTTTTTTTTTAAGATTTTTATTTATTTATTTAGAGAGAGCCAAGCAAGCATAAGCTGGGAGAGGTGCTGAGGAGGAGGGAGAGGGATAAGCAGACACTGCGCTGGATCTCAGGACCCTGAGATCATGACCTGAGCCAAAACCAAGGGCCAGACACTCAACCGAATGAGCCAGCCAGGCGCCCCACAAGGGCCACTCTTAAGTGTACCTGGCAAGCAGTATATTCAACCAAGTGGTCGTTATTTTTAGGATCTAAGATGATGTCAGTTCAATAAGAAAGTCCAGATGACTGAACTGGAATTCAAGTTTGAATCTGCTAAGCCCACTTTAGACTGGGCTGTCACCTGGAAGAGACACCAGCCAGGCTGTGCCAGGGTTGCCATTGCAAGGGAAGGAAAAGGATTGTGTCTGAGAATGGTTAGGGCAGAATTCAAACTTTCCAATTTGGTTTCTATAACTTCCCACCCATTTTGTCTTGATCATTATCCAGGAAGCAGAGAAGAGATGGTTCTTTTCTGGGGACAGCTGAGTTCGATGACCAACCTGCCTTACTCAGATTTTTGGACAAAGAGGAGATAAGAGAAGTAGTCAGAAATCTTCCTAAGTCAGTATTGAAGGAGGCTTTTGCAATGCTCTACATTATCTATATCTGTGCATGGTAGGGAGCTTGCAGGGTTCATCAATACCTTGGCTGTCAGCCAATTATCGAGTAGCTTTAGGCACAGAAAGATCAGACTGCAGATGATTCAGACAGCTAACCATATGACGCAGATTAGTCTCAAGGGCACAGTGGTGTGGCCAGAACCAGCAGATCATTCTGAAACAGCAGCACTGCATCCTTAAAAAGTGTCAGCAGTGGTGAGACACTAGGGATAGCCCTGGGATGGCGTCAAAGGTCCAGTGTAGTCAGTCTTTAGGAACAGTCAGAGACAATGCGCAGTGTAGCCTCCTTCACCACGAGACAAATAGGCCAGCTTTTGGTGGGTGTCACATGTCTGGCATCCAGTGGCAATTTGTATATCAGAAGCATAAGGTCCTTTACTTTATGCTGTCTGTGATGGTGGATATGTCAGCATGTTCAGAATAACACTGGATCTAGGGGTCAGTGATGGAAGTCTAGGTAATGCAGGCTTGATCAGCAGCTTCATTCTGGTTAGTATCATTAGAGAACAGGCCCTAACCATGGGCATCTGAATCAGTGATCCAAATAGTTTGATCAGCAACTGCTATTTGTTTCCACAGTTGTGGTCCTGAGGATAGATGTCTTTAATCTGCCAAGATTTCCAACTCTTCCAAACAGCTGGGTCATTGGCAGCAGCCCAGGAGTCAATAAAATATAATATGGTTCATTGTGTAGAATGTCATCCAGGGCTATGAAGAAAGCTTCTGAGTTCTGCCCTCTGAGCACAGGGACCACATCCACTTCTGGTTTTGCGTAGTTGGTGCTAAAGCTGAGCATTTGCAGCAGCCCAGGGAACAACATCAGTCTTGAGTTTAGCCAAACCATCGGTGAACCAAAGACCTCATTGATCTAGTGGCTTTCTTTGGGCAACAGAGTTGGGGGAGCTACCATTTTTTTCATGTAAAGCCAAGAGGTCAACTGCTTTCTTGAGTGTCGTCTTTTTTTTTTTTTAAGATTGATTTATTTTAGAGCAAGCGAGGGAGTGGGGGGAAGGGGAGAGGGAAGAGGAGAGAGAATCTTAAGGAGACTCCCTGCTGAGTACGGAGCCCGACTCGGGGCTCCATCCCACGACCGTGAGATCATGACCTGTGCCGAAACCAAGAGTCAGACTTTCAACCGACTGAGCCACCCACGTGCTCCTTGAGTGTTTTATTTCTATTTGAGAAGTGAGACTTGGTGGGCATGTTTTACCTTGCTAGTTGTGAAGTCTTAGTTGATGCACTCCCACATGGCAGTATCAGGCTACAGAGCCTCAAAACTTCAATGGATCAGGCATCAGTTTTAACAAAAGCCCAACAGCAAGCAAATCCTTTCTTTTCAAAGGGGGAGTGTACCTTGTGGGTGGAGCCTGACTCCTTTTGCCACAAGCTTTAATCTGCAAAAGCATCTCAAAGACTTCTAGTTCAAAGGGGCCATTAAGAGTTGTAGGGCCCCCAAAATAGAGAATGTGCCACAGCTTGATGGGCAATCTCCAGTGCAACTTTTTGGTTGGAGCCGCACTTAAAAGATCCTGATTTTCAGATTAGCTGATATAAAGAAGAAAGTAGAATGCCCAAGTAGGTACATGCTGTTTCCAGTACCCAGAAAGGTTCAATAAGATGCCGACCTCATCTTCATTAGGGAGAGGGAGGAGGTAAAGAAACGTAGTTTTTCTTTTACTGCTGGAGGGACTGAGTGTTGTGAATCCACCGTACTTAGTCCCAAGAAACTTCACTTGATGAGCAGGCCTCTGAATTTTGTTGAGGGTTCATCAACACCTGCTCATGGAGATGTGCTAACATTGAGGTCAGGGCCTTTGAGACAGACTTCTAACTTGCCATTCAACAGGACATCAATATAGTGTAAACTTTAGACATCACAAGATAGAGACACTCGTGCTAAACCCTGACCATCTGCTGGTGGCATCTGTCAGGGGGTTTCTTCCAGTAGCTCTTCTCTACCTGTGGCTCTTTCCATTTGGGACAATCCATATCTGATATTTACAGAATAGGGCAGTGTAAATGCCATACCAGTTCCTGCTGTACATTCAGATGTCAAAGCAACAATAGTATGTAGAATCAGCTCCACCCACAGGGTTAAGACAGCCTCCCTTTCCTGCTGTGAACCTTGCCCAAACCCCATTAGTTGAATGTGCCTCCTCTGCCCATGATAGGATGGTGAGTTGGACACCTGAATCTAACAGAGCCATGAAAGTTTGAGTTGCTCCCATTCCTGAGTTTCCCTCCGCATCCTTGGATGGGTATATGGTGTCTTCACTATACCCTTGGGGACAGGGAGGTCTTGGCTCCACCCCTAGTTATCTTCCTCCAAGCAGGTATGGGGGGAAGGAAGGTAGAAGAGGAAAAGATATGGAGGGAGAAAGTGACTCCATGCCGGTGAGCAGGCATATTTACTTTTGGTTTCAAGCAGATGAAAGCTGCATGTGGCTTGACTAAACATATCTCAAGTGTTTTCGGCCCATCAAAAGCCCTCTATCAGCCAGCAAGGTCATCATTACTGACACCATTTATTTCCGTTTTGGGGACCCCTTGATTCAGCTGCCTTGTCCACATTGCTTTTCAATTGGGGCTGTAAGATTTTTTTAAAGATTTATTTATTTATTTATTATTTAAGAGAAGGAGGGCAAGCACACAAGCAAGGGGAGGGGCAGAGGGAGAGGGAGAGAATCTTGAGCAGAGTCCCTGCTGAGCGCAGAGCCCAACATGGGGCTCTATCTCAGGACCCTGAGATGATAACCTGAGTGGAAATCCAAGAGTTGGATGCTTAACCCGCTAAGCCTCCCAGGGACCCCAGGGCCATAAGATTTATATGCCTTTTGGCTGACTCAGAGGACTCGCACATTGGTGGCTTTGTAAAAAAGGGTGTGCATTAATCCTGGACATTTGCTGCCCTGTTGTCATGATAACTCTTATGTTTTTACCTGATTTAACATAAAAGTTAGGGGGATTTTCAGGAGGCCTGACCGTAAGAATTTATATTGTTTTGGATTCTTTTCTCATTCTCCAGTGACTCATCTTCGTCAGCATTATAAACCCAATTGGCGGGAAGATTTACTAGTCAGCCCCAAGAGCACCATAGCATCCTTATGGCAGCCAGGACATACTGCAGAAAAAAAACACTGAGACCTTTTACAGTCCTCTCCACATGGATCTAAGGTGGACAAGACAACACTGCAGGAGAGGCTGAGCCCTGTGATGGCCCAGGTGTTGCCATTCTTCTTGATGAGCATCATGTTGCCCCCTCATCTTTCTTTTCTTTTTTTTTTTAAAGATTTTATTTGACAGCACAAGCAGGCAGAGCGGCAGGGAGAGGGAGAAACAGGCTCCCCGCTGAGCAGGGAGCCTGATGCAGGGCTCGATCCCAGAAACCCTGGGATCATGATCTGAGCCGAAGGCAGATGCTTAACAGACTGAGTCACCCTCATCTTTCACATGGACTAGCCAAAGTTCTAATGACTCATTTCTGTTAGTAGCAGTTGCACATTACCCTTCTGTCACCCTTGGTTTAGGTAACTTGTCTGTAATGGGGCAAGACCATCTGTCTCTACCCCTGTCCCCACCGTGAATCTTCGTTGTTTTGATGGGTTAAACTTAAGGCTGACCACGAACGAGGTTGGCAGGGAAGTCCTCCCCCAACCCTGGGAGAGTTTGCAACACAAGGAAACCTCTAGCAGCTGTCCTTGAACTTACTGCCCAGTACTCATCCTACAACTTCCCAGTTTTTCCTCATTATAGGTGTTTCAGTTTTCTGAGGCTGCCATAACGAAGTACCACAAACTAGGTCCAACAGAAATTTATTGTCTCACAGTTCTGGAAGCTGGAAATCCTAAATCACAGTGTTGGCTGGGCCTTGCTCCCTCAAAAGGCTCTAGGGGAGGATCCTTCCCTTGCCTCTTCTAGCTTCTGCCAGCCCCAGGGCTTCCTTGGCTTGTGGCAGCATGACTCCAATTTTTGCCTCCCTCTTCATTCGTGTTGCTGTCTTCTGTCTCGTGGGTGCGTGTGTCCAAATGTACCTCTCCTTATAAAGACAGTTATATTAGAGTAGGGTCCACTCTAATGACCTCATCTTAACTTGGTTACATCTTCGAAGACTGATTTCCAAATAAGGTTACATTCACAGGTATCAGGGGTCAGGACTTCAACATATCTTTGAGGGACACAATTTAACTCATACAGTAGGCAATTAAATGGAAGACCATGCATTGCCCAGGTCAGCATTTTTGCTGCCAGCTCCAGTGGACTTCCTCACATCCCATTATTTGCTCCTTGGGGCCTCATTCTTTGTGTTCCAGAAAACCCTGTCTTTTTTTGGCATCCTTTCCTTGTTGCCAAAATCTGGCAAGAAGTGTGACAGAACTGAGATTTTACCCTATTTGCAAGCCAGCAAGTTATCCTGCATAGTTTCATGGATGCTGATAGAAGATATGAGACTGTTAAGTCAGAAAGAGTTTACTTTTTGCACAGCAAGCAGCATGGGTTTTATATTTGTGCCAGTTTTCCCTTCTCCTCCAAAGGGGTGACATAGAGTGGCCCAGGTGAATGCTGTGCATCTAGTTGGTTTACATCACAGCTGAAGCATCTCCAGCTTATTAGGAAGCCCACATCTTAGGTAATGGGCTGGAAGCAAACCTGCCCAACCATCGCTCCAGAGGGAGCCATACTCTGTCTTTCCAGATTGCTGACTGTACTGCAGATAGCCTTGAAGAGAGTCCAGAAGAAAAGCTGTCAGGACAGGAGACGTGCAGAAACATGAGACTCATGGATAATTGTCTCCCAATAGTTGTCTTCTCTTACTGAGGGTATTGGATTGTGAGAAAACGTTTTATACTATCTTTATGGACCTTTGGCAGATATATTTGTGCACGTGTTTTGTCCTGGTCTGTGGCTTGCCTTTTTGTTCTCTTTTGTTTGTGGCTTGCCTTTTTGTTAACTATTTCAAAGGGCAAAAGTTTTTCATTTTGATGAAATCTATCAATTTTTGCTATTGAGCTTTCTTCTTTTTGCATGCTGATTTAAGAAATCTTTCAGTAACCCAATTTTACAAAGATTTTCTCCTACCTTTTTCTTGAAGTTAAATAGTTTGAGTTTTTATGTTAAAGTTTGTGGTCCATTCTGAAATAATTTTTGAGTGTATGATTTGAAGAGTGGTGGTTGAGGTTTATTTTCTCCATATAAAGACCAGTTGTTCCAGCACCACTCTTAAAAGTTCTTTCCTCCATTAAATTATCTTGGAACCTTTTTTTCAAAAATCAATTAAAAAAGTGGGTCTATTTCTGGACTTTACTGTGTTCCATTAATCTTCGTGTCTGTCACTAATACAGCTTTATAGTAAGTCTTCCGATCTTGGTTTTTGCTTTCCCATATAAATTTTACTATGAACTTACCAATTTCTTCCCAAAAGGATTTCCATTGGCTTTATAGATTTTTAAATCCATACATTATGTATTTCAGGAACAAAGAAAACTCAGCTCCACTAGAGGAAAATACCACAGGAAAAAGTGAGGCAAAAAAAAGAAAGATTGCAGAAACTTCAAATGTTATCACTGAGTCATTGCCCTCTGCAGAATCAGAACCTGTTGAAATTGAGGTGGAGATTGCCGAAGGCACAATTGAAGTGGAAGATGAAGGCATCGAAACGTTGGAGGAAGTGGCTTCTGCCAAGCAGTCCATAAAGTACATTCAAAGCACAGGTTCCTCTGATGAATCCGCCCTGGCACTGTTGGCAGATATTACCAGCAAGTACCGTCAAGGTGATAGAAAAGGGCAGATAAAAGAAGAAGATGGTTGTGCATCTGACCCCACAAGCAAACAGGTAGAAGGTATTGAAATTGTGGAACTTCAGCTGTCACATGTGAAGGACTTGTTCCATTGTGAGAAATGTAACCGTTCATTTAAATTGTTTTACCATTTTAAGGAACACATGAAATCACACTCCACTGAGAGTTTCAAGTGTGAAATATGCAATAAAAGGTATCTTCGGGAGAGCGCATGGAAACAGCACCTCAACTGTTACCACCTTGAAGAAGGTGGAGTCAGTAAGAAGCAAAGAACTGGGAAAAAGATTCACATATGTCAATACTGTGAGAAACAGTTTGACCACTTTGGACATTTTAAAGAGCATCTTCGAAAACATACAGGTAATTAGCAAATCTTTTATGTTAAAAGTATATTTTTCCACATTCACTGCAAATCTGAGTGTCTAATCCTTTCTTTAAATGAGTTACCACAGAAGCCATCCTCCTGTATTTTCTAATATGCAGGCTGAGCTCACATTGTTCTCATGATACTAGTTTATTGAAATATTGATACTTTAAAAGCAAAATCATATCAGTTTTGAAAGTAGCTGTTACTCTTACACCTTGCCAATTTTTGTGTTTTTAAAAGACATACACAAAACACAGTTGTGATTATTTACTAAGGATCATAAATTATGAAATCCTAATAGAGAAACTTCACTGTTACTATTTTTACATTTCCTGTCTCTCGTTTATACATTACATAGATGTGTACATTTATGAACAATCACTGGCGTGTTTATACCTTTGCATACATTTGGTCACCTGTTTTAATCTGGTAGCTAGGTAGGCAGTATATGTTCATCTTCCCACACCTCTTCAAGAGCACACAGTCTCAGGACTGATGGACAGCCAGGAGATGAGAAAGCTAAAGCCTTTTACTGCCCTCCTCCTGGGAGCCCCTCTCAGGCATTCAGGAGCCGTCCCAGGGAGTCTCACTTTGGGCCTCTGGTCCTTAGAGTCCTGCATCCATCCCCCATGCCTGTTTTTCCCCCGTCAGATTCTCTGTTTTTCCACTTCCCAAGCATTCTTTGCTAAGTCTCCTGTGTCACACCCAGGAGTTACCAGCTGTGACTTGAATCTTGTGTGTGGGGAGAGCAGTGGATATGGTGTGCTAAGTGTCAGACTCTGGACACTTGTTCCCAAGTTCTTCTGTGTGGTGGCTAAAGCTGTTTAGACTGTTTAATACAGTGAATACAACATAGATACTCCATACTATTTGGAGTCTTTGTCTTTGCTGGAGTTTGGAGAGTTTCTAAGAAATTTTTTCATAGATCCTTTGCTGTCCTGAGCTGCTCGCTGCATACTGCTTGAAATTGAGGAAATGGGTAGATTCAGATAAATGGGGTATTCCTCACTTTTAAATGTTTGGTTTCAGTACTCAGAGACTGAATAAATGCTTGGTATCAATATTTAGTGGTTACATGAAAGAGAATCTCATACTTAAGTCTCCGTATGGATTTAAAAAGCTTTAGGGTACTAGTTTGGGTAACTAATAGGTGTTTATGAAATCTTTTGGGAAAATGCTTTCTGATTTTCAAACATATAGGAATATAGCTATTGTATATTTAGAAACTGCCTGTAGTAATAGTTTTTGGTCCTTAAATATTCATCTGTTTTAATGTAGATTAGTTTTGCAAAACACTTGCTGTATCGGCAGCACATTAAATTAGTAAATAAATATTACTTGGTAACTAGTATGCTTTGATAAGGGTTTCCAGTATCCCGACAGATAATCAGTCACTTCTGTCTTCTAGTAATGTAAAAGTAGAAGCAATTGTCTTTTTTTTTTTTTTTACATTACCTGGTGACTTACCTGTTGAAAAACAGGCAACAGAGACTATTTTAGAAGTTTTAGAATGTGCTTTCCACATCCTATCTTTTGTATTTTGGATTAAACAGCAGAATATAGAGCTAAAGTATATTGTTGTATGTCTTTATAATTACGTGAGATAATTAAGCAGTTGCTACAAATTATAGAACTAGATGTCCATTGGAAAAACAGTTTAACACATAAAGCAAGCTGAACTTTTGTTGGCATTTAACCTCAATTAACCATACTAGTAATTAGTAAGATAGTTGCAGATGTGATAAGTGACTTGGTGAATTCAAGAGGAGCGTAAGTAAGTAGTTTTAAATTGTGCTTATGTTAATAAAGAATGGATCATTTCTTGCTTATAACAAACTCAGGGTAAACATAAGGAAACAATCCCATTCCTGTTTCCTATTCTCAAAATTTTGCATACTTTTATTAGTTTAGCGGTTTGGTTTCTTCAGTGTTCTTAAAACATGCACTATAGTCTATGGCTTGATTTGCAAAATTTTGGTTGTTGTCCTCTGAATTATTTTGTTTCCATTTGGAAAATAGTAATGCCAACCTGCTGGGTCATGGAGATAAATGTTAAGAGTCCCTGCCTTCAAGGAGCTTACCCTTGTGTTGGGGGAGACGAGCAGGCACAGTCACATGTGATGGGCTAAGGGCTGGTAGATGTCAGCACACAGTCTTATGGGAATGCCTGCCTGGGCTGTTTATTTATGATGGAAGAGACAGGGATGGTTTCCTGGAGCATTCACCCTATAATGACTCCCAAAGGAAAAGGAGTTAGCCAGGACATAGGCATTCCAGGTACAAGAAATGAAGCATGCACAGGCATAGAGGAAAGAGATAGACACATGTTTGGAGCACTGCTGGTAGGTTACTATGGCTGGAGGATTGGGTCCAAGTAGAGGAATGACAGGAGATGTAGCTGGAAGAGTTAGGAAGGCTACCAAGTGGCACGCACTTAGGCATCGTGGACAAGGGCAAGGGAGAGAGTGATGGAAGATGAAGCCAAGATCACGTAGTTATTTTCATAAATGTTGTACATGAATTTGGATTTTATCTTGAAAGACTGAGTCATTTAAAGATGTTTAAACCAGGATCAGATTTATGTTTTAGAGGGATGACTGGCAGGATAGATTAGAGTGGGGTGAAACCTCCGAAGTCTAATTAGGAAGCTGTTGGAACAGTCTAAGCAAGAATGAAGAGTTGAGTAAAGGCAGTGAGAGTGGAAGAGGGTTAGAGATGTGAATAAAGTAGGTAGAATCATCAGAATTTGGTGACCAGTGAAATATGGGAGTAAATTCAGCTTTCTGGCTTGGGTGCCTACAGGATTGGAAGTTTATTAACTTATAGAAGGGTAAGCACTTTAGGGGTGGGAGGACATATCAGACATATTGACAGATTTACCTATGGGACACCTAGTATGAGAGAGAACCTAAAGGTGATCTTTAACCATAACCATGTCTTCAAATGTTCCCTGTTTCCCAGAGAGGAGGTATGGAATTACAGAAAGAATGTGGGTCTGGAAATCAGAATTAGATTCCAGCTTCAGTTCTGACATTTGCCAGTATGATGAACTTGACTGGTCACTTTATCTTCGGGCCTCTTTCTCATCTGTGTAAAAATGGGTAATGATAATCTACTTTATAGGGTTGTGACAAATAAGAGAAAACAGTAAAAGCACTTTGAAGACTGTGCTGTCTACACATCTAAAGTAGAATTAACCTGTTGCTATTTCTAGATTTTATTGGACTTAACTAAGCTAATTTTTTAAATAGCAAAAGCTCAAATGACATAAAAGCTGAAATGACATACAATGATCAGTAGAGAGATTCAGTAGATCTCTCCAGAAGCAACTACTGCCATCATTTTCTTATTTATCCTTCCCTATCTGTTTTTTGCATTTTTGAGTCACCACAGATGGACACACAGTTTTTTGGGGGAAAAAAACAATGGAGGCATGCAGTACAATGTCATGCCATTTCTCTTAAACTCTTTAAATATGTGAAAATTCAGGAATGTATA